AAAAAAAATACGGGGGGAAAAGAGCCTGGTTGGGGGGGGGGGGGGGCACTGCAGAGAGGGGCAATGGACACAAAGTTTCAGTAATGTAAGATGGGAAAATTCTGGAGGTTTACTGCACAGCAGGGGAGCTGGAGTTAATAACACTGTGCTACTTGCTTGAAATGTCCTGCAAGAATGGACCTTACGGGCTCTCCCCACATATGCATGCATGTAGATGGAACTATGTGCACTGAGACACATGTCAGTGAAATTGACTCTGTGTGTGTGTGTGTGTGTGTGTGTGTGCGCGCGCTGATACCTGGTGGTGCATGCTTGCAATCCCAGCACTCAGAAGGCTGAGGCAGAAGGACTGTGATTTCAAGGACAACCTGGGCTCCATAGCAAGACTTTGTTTCAAACCAAAACCAAAACCAAACCAAAACAAGCAAGCAAAAAGACCCCATGTTGGAGCCAGCTGTATCAGAGGACCAGAGTTCAGATCCCAGCACCCCTAACCCACGGCTCACAAAAAAAATGCTTGACTCCAGCTTCAGGGATCTGATGTCCCCCTTCTGACCTCCATGGGCATTGCATGCACATGTACATGTACATGCACATGTACACACATAAATACATAAAATAGAAAATAAATCTTAAAAATCATGTTTTTTACACCTTAAATATATACGATTTATTTTATTAGTTTTTTAAAAAAAATTTGTGTGTATGAGTATATTGCCTGCATGTATGTAAGTGCACCCATGTTGTGCAGTGCCCACAAAGGTCAGAAGAGGGTGTCGGATTCCCTGGAACTGGAGTTACAGACTGTTTTTAGCTACCATATGGGTGCTGGGAACTGAACCTGGGTCCTCTGCCAGAGCAGCCAGGGCTCCTAACTGCTGAGTCAGCTCTCTAGCCCCAATATATACAATTTTTAAAGGGCTACTATGAGACTTTCATTTCTTTTAATGACTAAATAATGTTCCACTGTTTGCATACATACATATGTATACATCACCTTGTTCACTTATTTATTTGCTGACATCTGCTTGGTTTGTTTCTACCTTTTGACTGTGATAAACGTGACTTCCATACTCATTGGTGCCTGTGTATCTGTTTGAATTTCTTCATCAAAGTTCTTGAGGCTTCAGCGCAGAATGGAGAGCCCTATTACTTGGGGCCTGTGACAAGGCAGTCCATTGCTGTTTGCTTTGCTTAGTGGGGGACCTGCTGGCTTCGGGGCAGAGGGTCTGATCGGCGACAGAGTCATAAACTCTGGGACCTGTGTCTTCCCAACAGGACGATTTATTTTAGAATTCAGATGGTTTTTATACAGCCCAAGGAACTAGCAGTCACGTGGGATATGGCAGTCACATACAAAGATTTAGGGTACAAAGAAACAGGAAACAGGACCTGTTAGTTGGCACCAGAAGGATTCTTAAACTTTTACTCAAGGTTCTCAATGCCCATCCAGTAATTTATTGGCCACAATGTTTTCTTTCTTAGAGCTAAAAGCATGGTGAACTTTTAGCTTTTAGCTCAGGAGTAAACCTTTAACCTGGCCTAATCTCTTAGCCAGGGATAGCTGAGTTATTTGTTCAGGACAAGGAGATGAGCTAAGGGTTGTTGACCAAGATGCTTTCCCACAGCGTAGGGAGCCTGCACTTTTATGACCGGGCCACTTCCTCCTGCCAGCCTAGCAGTGTTCTGAAAGAAAGTGATTATTAGAACCACTGTTTTCAGTGCCCCTCCCTTTAGCAGAGAATGCAGCCTGGGCCTATAAGTTTTAGGCTCACCTCACCCTAGGGCCTGGCATCCTGGTTTCCTACACATTGCAATGGGGGGAAAAGCTGCTTACTTCATGGCCAGGGAGCAAAAAAAGACAAGGAAGAGGTGGGGGTCCCATGTCTCCCTTGGAGGGTATGCCCAAGTGATCCAACAACCTTCCACCAGGCCCCACATCTTAATCCAAATCTATAGTCTCTTCACATTTGAGAGTCTTCTTGGGTGCGTTCTTTCTGGTATTTATTTATTCATTAACTGTATCAGTTATAGCTGGGCATGATAGCACACTCCTTTAGTTCCAGCACTCTAGAGGCAGAGGCAGGCAAATCTTTGTGAGTTCAAGGCCAGCCTGGTCTATATAGTGACGTTCCAGGCCAGCTGGAGCTACAGGGAGACCCTGTCTCAAAAAAGACCAAAAAAAAATATTTATTTTTTATGTGTATGAGTGTATTGCTTGCATGTAAGTGCACCTGTGTCACGCAGTGCCTGTGGAGGTCAGAAGAGGGTGTCAGATTCCCCTGGAACTAGAGTTACAAACCCTTTTTTTAGCGACCATGCGGGTGGCTGGGAATTGAACCCAGGTTCTCTGCAAGAGCAGCCAGTGCTCTTAACAACTGAGTCATCTCTCCAACCCCTTCAACACTATTTTGAAAATTAAATGGTGAAAGTGTCTTGTTCTTGACCTTAGGGGAAACTTTATTTTTACTTCTATACACTTGTTTATTCTTCTTGCCTGTAAAAATGATTGAGAAGTACCTTCTTTCAGGAGAAAGATGGCACTCTGGGGAAGATCCCCAGGAGCCTTTGGCTGAAATCTCAAGCAGAAGCCAGGCAGCCAGAGACCCAGGAGGCTAAGGCCATGGCCAGGGCAGCCCTGTCCACCCACCAAGAGGAGTATGGATGGCTGTGACTTGATGCAGGCAGGGCACCTTCACAAAGGCCACAAAGCCCCTCTCTTCAGCCCAAGGAACTCATCAGGGTCTGGGCCCATTTCAGGTCTGCCAGGAGAACCCGGAACTTCTCTGCTGAGAGGGACACGGAGACTGGCTGGGCCGGTGCACCCAGGGCTGGCACCACCTCCAGACACAAGTGCACCATGGGCTTCTCCATGGAGTGCAGCAGGCTGGAGCACAGGGTGTAGTCCTGAGTGTGAACGGGCTGGCCAGCAGGCACTCTTGTAGGCCCTCTGCGTCTCCTTATAACAGCGACACAGGCTGATGGTGGCTGCTCTCTAGGCAGCCCCAGCTATTGCAGCTCACTGGACAAGGACTCACCATCCACCCTATGCTTAGCTGCACTGGAGACGATGAAACTCAGCACTGCGACCATGGCCTTCACCTCTCCAGACTCAAACTTGGCATCAGCAGTGAGCTTCAAAATCTTCCCATAATCAGTCCCCTGCCCCAGGAGCTCCTTTAGCACCTGGCTACACACCACCCTCGGCTTCACAGAGGAAATCTTGGCCAGTGTGCTGATCTCTGCCAGAATCCAGCCAGGACAGTCCAGATCACCACAGAACTGGAGCCTCACTGTTCCAGGAGATAGAATACAGGACAGTCGGGGGGGGAGGGGAGCTTTTAGCATCTAGTTCTCAAGTATGACGTCAACTTCAGGCTTTTCACATGTGGCCTCAATTATGCTGAAGAAATTTTCACCACACGTGGCTCAGCTTTTGATTTTATTTTCTCTGTAGTCTTTGCAACCTGTTGTGTCTGTTTCACTCTAATCTTGAGTTCCTTCTGTGAGTGCTGCATTTAGTGTGCTCCTTTTCTGTTCCTTTAAGGAAGATCTCCATTTCATTGAAAAATAAGCTGTTTCCTACATTTTTAATGCTACTAATACTTAGATGTTTACACGCGTCTGTAATCTCTATGTATCTGATTATTACTAGTCACAGTGGGTTACACCTTGGCACCTGAGTATGTCTATAAAGTCATCAGGTAGATTTCAATGGTAATGTTTATCACCTCTACTAATTATGAAGTAAATTTTTATGGTTCCTCCTCAAATATGTCTTTTTAAAAATTTGTTGCCTTTTTTGTATGTATATTATACACACAAACAATCTTATTCATCTATATACCCACTTCCCAAATGGCACCCTCCCATAGCCCCCCCCACCCCCCACTAGATCCCATATACTCTGTCATTCCTGTTACTGTCCACTGTGTTGTTGGCTCCCCCAGCTGTTCCTCAGTGCTTGTCCATCTGCTGAATCTAGTCAGCCTATCTAGAGAGCCTTGTTTTAGGAAGATCAGCTGTTCCTCATCTAGCAGCAATCAGTTGTCATATCCTTTTTGATAAGATTAGGATCTGCCTTTCATTTTCCCAGTTCTATGCTCGGTTACTGTCTGGGAGTCTTTTGGGCCAACCTGGCCAATAACTCAAAGGAAGGTATCTCCTGTCTGGCATTGTTTCTTGTTATGTAGTCTTTAGCTATACATATGGACTCTTAAAAAACTATATTGACCCCTTTAATCTTTGGTTATACTTTCCTTTTGGGTGTTTAAGACCCTACAGCTGGTCCAGATAAACCAATTTATTTTTACTCTTAAAATTTGAGATCTTTTATCATTCTGGTATTTATTCATTAAATATTTTATTTATTGTTTTTAATTTCATGTGTATGAATGTACTGTCTGCATGTGTGTAACTGTACCCTTGTGGTACAATACCTGTGGAGGTCAGAAGAGTGTGTCAGATTCCCCTGGAACTGGAGTTATGGATGGTTGTTAGCTACCATGTGGGTGCTAGGATCTGCATCTGGGTCCTCTGCAAGAGTAGCCAGTGCTCTTAATTGCTGAGCCATCTCTCTATCCCCTCTTGTATTTATTTTTAAAGATTTATTTTATTATTATTTTTAGTTATGTGTATGCATATGTCTGTGTATGGGTATATGCCTGGGTACATGGGTGCAGATGTTATCAGAGGCCAGAAAAGGGTGTTAGATCCATTGGAGCTGGAGTTACAGGCATTGTAAGTCCCCTGACAGGGTGCTGGGAACTGAACTCAGGTCCTCTGCCAGAGTAGCACAAGTTCTTTAAATTTTTTTTTTTTGGATTTATTTATTTTTATTTTATGTGTATGCATGCTTCGCCTACCATGTGCTGTTAAGAGTCCAGGTCTGCAGACGACTCTCTCCCAGTGTAAAAAGCCTCACAAAACAGGCCACGAGGGCCCCCTTGCAAAACAAGAACTGGCCAGACAGCTACAGTTAGAGCTGTCTCAGCGCAAAGTCACTCCCCAGATAATTTTGGAAGATAAGCAGGTCCCTGCACCCAGACCCACTGATGTAAGAGCTGTCTCAGTTCAAGCTACTTCCCTTGAAACTAAAGATCATTTTTGCCACCTTCCACATTCCCCAATCCCCCTATAAGAACTTCCTCAGCAGTCGGAGGCTGCTGGTTGCCTTTCTCTCCCCAACTGAGCTGCCAGCCACCAGCAATCCTAAGAAATAAATTTTGCTTTACTGGAGTCTTATGTTTCCTGTGGCTATTCCCTGCCTGGCTTTTGTCTAACATGTGCGCCATGTTGTGTAATGCCCATGGAGGTCAGAAGAGGTCATCAGAACCCTTGGAACTGAAGTTATGGATGGTTGTTAGCCACCATGTGGGTGTCAGGAATGAATCTGGATCCTCTGTAAGAACAACCAGTGCACTTAACCACCTCCCTGAGCTATCTCCCCAGACCCCATTTTTCATCTTTGAAAAAAAACTTTTTTTTGAGATAGGGTTTCCCTGTAGCCTTAGATGTCCTGGAACTCACTATGTAGACCAGGCTGGTGTTGAACTCATAGAGATCCACCTGCCTCTGCCTCCCGACTGCTGAGATTAATGGCATGCACCACCATGCCCGTCTCAGACCCCATTTCTTTAAAAAAAATTATAGATATTGGGGCTGGAGAGGTGGCTCAGTGGTTAAGAGCACCAGTTGGTCTTGCAGAAGACTGGGGTTCGAATCCCAGCACCCACATGGCAGCTAACAGCTGTCTGTAACTCCAGTCCCAGGGGGTCTGACAGCCTCTTCTGACCTCTGTGGGCATTGCACGACATGGGTGCACTTACCTACATGCAGGCAATACATGCATACACATAAAATTAAAAAAAAAATATATAGATATTTATAGCTGTAAAGTTTCCATTTAGCACTGTCCTTTCAATGTGTCTCATGAGTTTTTATGGATTTTAAGAATGTGTTGTTCAAGTTGGGCCTGTTGGCACATGCCTTTAATCCCAGTATTTGGAAGTCAGAGGCAGGTGGATCTCTGTGAGTTCAAGGCCAGTCTGGTCTACATAGAGAGTTCCAGGACAGCTGAGGCTACAAGGAGACCCTGTCTCAAAAAGATCCACACCCCCAAATAGAATGCGTTGCTAAGGACAAACATAGTGTCACACACCTGTAATCCCAGTATTTAGTAAGATGAGGCAGGATTGAAAATTCAAGGTAGCCTGTGCTATATAACAAGGTTCTGGAAGTCTTTATGGGAGTTCCTCAAAGAAACTGAAATTAGATCTTCCATAGGACCCAGCTACTCTACTCCTGGATATTTAGCCAAGGGCTCCAAGTCAACATATTAGTGCAGCACCATTCACAATTGCTAAGTTAAGGAACCAGCCTAGATGTCCATCATTGAGGGAAAGGATGAAGAAAATGTGGTGTATATAAACAATGAAAACTTTCTTCAGCCATAAAGAAGAATGAAGTTATATTGTTTGCAGGAAAACGGACACAACTAGTGATTGTGAATTAAGTCAGATTCTGAAAGACAGAGTGCACCTGTTTCTTTCATGTGTGATTCCTAGACTTCATATAAATACATAGAATCATGTGTTCATATGACATGGAAGGGGAAGTGAAGGATAAATTGCTTAATTCCACATACTTTTTTTGGTCTTTTTGAGACACTGTCTCCCTGTAGCCCCAGCTGACCTGGAACTCTCTATGTAGACCAGGCTGGCCTCAAACTCACAGAGATCTACCTGCCTCTGTTTCCTGAGTGCTGAGATCAAAGATGTGCACCATCACACCCGGCTCCACATACATTTTAAAAAATCTGTTATTATTAGTGTGTGTATAATGATGTATGTATATGACTGTAGGCATGTGCATGTCACAGGGTGAATGTGGAGGTCAGAGAGTGTTAGGGTCTGACCTACTGCAGCCCCCCTCCTCAGTGCAATAAGAAAAGTCCTCTGTCCAAATACAGGAACTAAGTTAGTGAGCACCCTGACCATCCGCAGACAGACTCCCTGCACCCATGACCTAAGCCCAGATTGCAGCGAGAGCTGTTTCAGTACTACCTGCTTCCCCTTTGATTTTTAGAAGAGAAAAGAGACCACTCATCCCATGACCAGGACCCTGGTCGATTTAAGGGGCAGTTTCAACAGAATTTGCCTCCCCCTGTTAAGCCCCCAACCCTTTGGCTTGTTTAAACTGTTTTTTACCTTCCGCATTCCCAACACCTATTAAAAACCCCCAGCCAGCAGCCTGAGGAGCAGCAGATTCCTCTGTTCCCGATGAGGGCTGCTCCCAGTGACTTCTGGAAATAAAGCTCTGCTTTGATTTCTGCTTGGAGTCCTCCTGAGTGGCTTTTCTCTCCTGAATTTTATCTATCATATGGTGCCTAAACCCTGGACCGAGAGTTGCCACTAGAGGTCATCGGTGGAAGACTCCACCAGGCTGGCCGCCGCTACTGGCTCCTGGGAAAACCACTTTGAGGTACATAACATTCTCTCTCTCTCTCTCTCTCTCTCTCTCTCTCTCTCTCTCTCCCCTCCTCCTCTTCTTCTCTCTTCTCTCTCTCCCTCCCTCTCCATCTCTGACTCCATACCCCTCCCTGCATACCAATCTCCCTCCCTCCCTCCCTCCCTTCCTCCCTCCGCCCTCTCCTATGGCCTCCGTGATCCTCTCTCTGCCTCTCTGGGGGTGTACTTTGTATTGCTTTCGCTTCTCTCCTCTACCTCCTCTTTTAATTTCCCTTCAATTGAATTTGGAGGTCATCCCGGACCTGGCTCAAGGCCACTGGGCAGCGCTGGTCTCCGTGGCTGTTGAGTGTCCGGCACGGTTACGGCGTCTGTCCAAGCGCAACTAAGAGGTGGACCTACCTCTCCGTTACTCTCAAATTCTGTGCCTCAGATTCTCTTGGTCCAAGAGCTGGCTCTCTCAACAGAGCACCGGCCCCTCCCAGCCTGCTAAAGGGTTTTCTGATTGCCCATTGTGACTGGGGGTCCCAGAGACCCTAACAGCCTACTCCCCACACGGGGGGGGGTACAGGCCTCTTGAGGTCATATTGGTGCCCTGTGTAACCCTTTTGAGCTCTGTCTCTATGGTCCAGAGTCTCTGTTCTGTCCCTGCTTGCTTTCGGGAACCCCCGGAGAAAACCAACCCTACAAAGGCACGGGCGTGACCTGAAAAGGCTGGTCCTAAGACCGGGTAGCTGGGAAGGCAGACTCCGGGGCCCTCCATTCCCTACCTTCTCCCTCCCTCCTCTCCACCAACTACTCTTCTTCCTTCTCCTCTCCCTTCCAACTTCTCACTAGGCTCTTACGCTCCCCCCATCCTTCTTTTCCTGTACTCTGTGTGCC